AAGGGGTGCTAATTTTGACTTAGCTTGTTGCCAGCAGCTCCTTCTACATCCATCTCCCCAGTGTCCACTACGTTTTATTTCTAAGTGTTCAGAGATGATAGCATGATGGCCATTGTCCACTAAGGAAAGAAAGCATCAGGCCTCAAAGAGGAGAGATGGAGCAGTGGGACCCGCACCCTCTCAACCTTCTTTCACATCTTCCCGTCGGTCTCTCTGCTTCTCCCCTGCACTTATGTAGGGAAAGAGGCCTCATTACCCCATCTATACAGACTGATACTGACAAGAGCGGGTACAGCTACAAAAATCCAATCCTGGAAAGCTACAAGAGCCCTCAGTGCAAGGGAGAGGTGGTGGCCCCACCCAGTGGAAACCTTACTGAAAGTCAGGAAAGATCGCCATTAGTTCAACAAGATTTACTGAACACCCACTATGAGCCAGACCAGGTTCTCGGTACTTGGAACAGTGAAAAGAACAGAGGCCCAGCAGCATGCTAGGGAGGCATGTGCATTCTAGCTGGGAGTCGGACTCATAACAGCAGACACAATGACCTGTAAGGAGGTCATCGAGCAGGAGGGACAAAGGATCCGTGAGCAAGGTAGTGGAGAGAGGGGAAGTGTTCCAACGTTGAACAGCCTGACCAGAACTGGCTTCAGATCTGTCTTAGGAAAGTCTTTTCCCTGCTTGGTCTCACATGTCATGATTCTAAAAGGAGAAGTTGAGTTAAATCAAACCTTTCCAAACTTGGTTGATCTTAAGAATTGCTAGGAAGAGGTTTTTGTTCGTTTGTTTGTTTTTGACGGAATAGAATCCCCACACACTTACAGATTCAGGCTACCAGACTATTATAGATCCAAGGCCTGGGAATCTGCATTTTTTTAATAAAAGTACCCAGGGAGATGCAGATGTGTAACCAAATTTAAAACCCTGGACTAAATGTGCACCCTGGGTGTGCGTGCTCTAAGGACGCCGTAGCCCTCATGATGTTTGTGAACTTACTGAACACAGGAGTATTCTTTATTCCTGGGGTTGTTAACAGGGATTAATGGACCGAAAGTTTGGTAAAGCACCTGGCCCAGGTCTTGGTGCATCACTGGGGTCCACTATTACGTTCCAACTCCACCTTGCAGCCTTAACGTCAAATCACACCTCTCTGGAATAACGAATGGAAGACAAAGACGTTTGAAGAGGAACAGCTAAACCTATAAGGGCCGAGAAAGGAAAAGGATAAAGCATTGTTTAAGTGGTTACCCTGCCGAGAAAGAAAAAGGACTCTAAGCCATAATTCAGGTAGGCCAATTTTATCAATGAGGTTCACAAAATACGCATGCAATTAGCTGAGATGATGGAGGAAGGCTGGACCTCAGTGTTTCCATAATGAGTGCATCCTCTGCTGCATGGGGTCTGATTTCCTCCAGGTCAGGGGTGAGGGAAGGGAGTGATCCTTGAGTTCCCTTGGCTCTAGGCAAGTAAGGACTACGAAGGCTTCTGTCCCTTTGCACAAAGCTCTGACCAGCTATCTCTGCCATCAAATCGTCTGTATGTGAGACAGACTTCTTTGTCTCATTCATCACCTTAGCTCTTGCAAAACTGAAATTATATTTAAAGAAATGAAAATGAGGTGGCAGCAGAAATGCCAGAGATCACATACGTATCACTGATTAAAGAGTGGCATGATCCATTCCCCCTTGGTCTCCTGTGACGGCTCCTTCCTGCCCCACTTCCCCACCATGGTTCCTTCTTCTCGTCTCTATTCTGTTTTTATTGGAAGAAGTCCCACCTCACACATCATCTCTTCTATTGTTGGTTGTTTTCTTTTTTTAAAGATTTTACTTATTTATTTGACAGAGAGAGATCACAAGTAGGCCGAGAGGCAGGCAGAGAGAGAGAGAGAGGGAAGCAGGCTCCCTGCTGAGCAGAGAGCCCCATGCGGGACTCGATCCCAGGACCCTGAGATCATGACCTGAGCCGAAGGCAGTGGCTTAACCCACTGAGCCACCCAGGCGCCCTGGTTGTTTTCTGTGTACTGTCTCTTCCCCTGCCTGCAATGGAAATTCATGGGAGCTGGGTATTAGAGTTGTAGCCGTTGCTCCATATTCTTACCTACCACATAATTGGTGCTCAATAAATTATTTTTGAATAAATGAATTTCAACTCACTGCTGCTTTCTTGCTGATTGGACATCACCAATCTTTCCGTATCATTTTTTTTTTTTCCATTGAGTTTCCCTCACCCACCTGGCTGGCATCATCATGTTCTATCTTGCTGATAAAAAAAGTTAATTCAAAAACAAAATTAAAAAAAAAAAAGAGAAAGAAGATACAAGTAAAAAATTGAGCACAAAGCTATTAAATTTATGATCATCTTTATACAACTATACAGTTGATGCCTGGACAATCCATAGATCTTACAGTTTGCATTTTAATTTGAGGTATACTTTGATAGCATCCACAATGGTAAGGACAGAAATTTGAAGATTACTTTGCAAAATTGCCAATTTCTAATATGTTACAAGGAAACAGAAAAGACTGAAACATATTTGCAATGAGTCAAATATAGATTTTATTTTTAAAAACATACTTTGATTAATTTCAGGTACCTAATTATCTCCTCAATTTAACAACTATGTCTGTTTCAATGACAGCTTTTTTAAATATTTGACTCTAATAAACCTCCCCTCAAAACTTGTTATGCTATTAATTTGATAATATTTTTTAATGGAATGTTCATTTGGTAAAGAATGCCTCATGCATATCATAAAAAGCCGATCCCTTAAAAAATGCGATCAAAAATGATACTTTACTATCTCATCACCAAGGTGCTGTGCTGAGTGTCCACCCACCATCTACTCTGGTGGTCTTGGATGGTGTCTCTCTGCAGCTGGGGATCAGATGGCCATCCAAGGCTAACACCCATGCAAACCCCCCACCCCATGTGGACTCCAGCTACATGACCTATCCTCAGGGCATTCAGTCATATACGCGAAATACAACTCGAGAAACTGAGGATTCTGTCATTGCCCTCATGTTTCGAATAGCGATGATAAAGATATCTGTAATACGTTGATATGATTTCCTTTCATTAACTGACCATTTATTCATCAGCAACAGGAGAAGATTAAAGAGGAACAGCGACTAAGAGCAAATGGACTTCCCCATTCCTGAGGTGTAGACTTTCAGCCTGATCTGCCTATGACTGTTCTGCTCAAGGCCCCAGATCTATACTGATACATTTAGCATTGGGGTCCAGTATTAATACTCAATCAATTAACAAAAGTAAACAGCATAGCTGTAGACCAAATCTTGGACTTGTTGGAAATTTAAGCCAGCAAGCATTTTTCCAATGAGAGTTCTGTGAGAGGCCAACAGCACTGTATTTCCAACATAATATCCTAAAAAGAAGAAAAGAAATGTAGATGTTCCGGACTCAGAGCTCAGCACTACCCTTGGCCCTCTGTGACTGCGAGTGCGTCTCTTAGTCTCCTTGACCGGCAGCAGCCGCATCTGGAAAATGGCAATTCAGACCCATGCATCATGGGGTAGCTGCAGAGCCTAGGCTGGTCTATTTTAATAGATCACCAAATGGGCCCAGGCACACACTAGGGGCCCGGGGAAGGTCGGCTGGGATGGTCATGATGACGGTGATGACGGTGGGAACAGAAGGGTCCAGTTGTAAGCTTTCCATAAATAGGTTTCACAGGACAATAGGAAATTTCAGCTCAGAAGCTGTAAGTCAGGGGCCTGAAGGCTATGAGTCACCACTTTGCTTCGTGCCTGTCAGTTCATTTTTGAGAATCCACAGAAATAGAAATGTTCTATCAGACCAACTTGGATTGCCATCTGGCCCACACATTTTCCTGGCACGGCCCGAAGGCCAGCACTGCTATTCTCCCCTCCAAGCAAAACCCCAAGTTTAGCAGAACAAAATCTGGTGCTGAAATGCATCGAGCACAGCATCGGTTAATTATCACGATTAGCATATTAGTAGTAGCTCTGGGGCAATTAATATGAAGAATAATTGAATCTGGGCTATAGTAGTTAATATAACTACGAGTTAGGTTAATATGAACTGCTGGTAAACTATTTAACAGACCAGTAACACCGACGGGGAACATTTTACACTTTTTAGACAGGCTTTTACATTCATTAGCTTGTCGAGTCTTCTTTGGCTTGTATTATTATCCTTAGAGTCTCTTTAGGGAAACTGAGGTTTCAAGCGATTGAGAATTATCCCAGGTGAGGAGCTGATACGTAGAATATCGGGAATTGGAAAGTCTGCCTTCCGACTACTTGTGTAGCAGGGCCTGGATATTGACAGAGGAAAGACAAATTTGCAGACTACAGCATTGCTTGGCTCAACCACTGAGTGCCCCCAGGACGCCGGACATGGAGAGAGCTCAGCATCCATCAAATGCGACGCCCTCATACAAATGAGGAAGAAGACTTACCTCCAAAGAATAACCTAGGACACAGTTTCCAAATTGATTTTCTTTTCTTAATTTCAGGGTTCCTTTATGACGTCCCAGTCTTGAACTCTTAAAGCGATCTTTTTAAAAATTTCTATGAGCTGAAAATCATACTCAAGTTTGTTAAAGCTGTATATTAAGTTATCAATTTAATTCTAAACCATGGTCTGGTGCTGCATTGCCAAAAACGTGTCCCATTTAACTCTAATTTGCTAGTGTAGTATTAGTTATTGTGGAAAAAGAGGATTTCTTGGTCAATTACATTTAGGTGTTCTGGGTTAAAACATGAATTAAACTGATTTTTTTTTTTTTATTCCTGACCTTTTTGGTTTTTACCTTAAATATGCAAATAGTGTGCTGTGTCCCCATCCATCTTGGACTGTGGTGAAATCCTTTGCATTCAGAAAATCCCTTGAGACTCATATTCAAAAGACCAGTTGGAGACACTTGGGCATGATAGCATTTTCAACCGGGTTCTGGTGTGTTTGCTTCGTAGCAAATATTCCTGATTGATGAAAACTTGCTGCATTTACTCGTCTGTCTCTGGCCACCTTATAGAGGGATGAAGCCCCTAAAAATACAAACCACAGAGAGAAGGGAAGCCATCCCAATCCTGTTTCATTTGAACTGCAGTGACTTTCCAGGTAACTAAATCCACTCTGTGCCTGGATTTCAAGCCTCATTCTCAGCCCTGAACCTCCCCATGGGTGACACTCCTTTTCCACCTCTGTGGACCCCGTGCCTACAATGAGCCGGTTTTCACACGCTTGCTTGCTATTTTAGGCTCCTACTTCTGGATCGGGGCTTCCTGTGGTGAAGTACCTGAGAAGAAAACATGCACAGAAGGGTGAGTATTTATAGGTTTGGGGCTCTGAAACTAGAGAGTTGCACTTGAACTGATAATCACTAACAATACTCATAATCCCTGAATGTGTTCACATCCAGTGAGAGGCGACCTCAGCCATTTCTTCCAGGTGGCCTAGGTAGTACACCTACAGGAAAAGAGAAAAGTCAAACCAACAATGAGGGTCTTTGATGTGAACTGAACTTTTTATAATGTAGAATATTGAGAATAACCAGGGAGGCATGAGAAAAGTCCAGGAGTTTTGGCCAAAAGCTTGCTAACATTTGCTGTTCTCAGAGGCACATTTGTTTTACTTTTAACCCTTCAAATTCATAGGCTTTGAAATTGAAATGTCCCTACTGATTTAAAACTTGGCTTCAACTGTGTCTGTCCTGGAAAACTGAGGGCTTGTCCATTTGCTTTTTTATAATTTTTTAGGGAAAAAAAATGTTGACTTTGAAAATAGCATAAGAATAAATAGTTACAGGAGGTTTTGCACTGTGGTCACTCTGGCTTTAAATTCTAAACATTTCAATTTGCTTTAAATATCCAATCCAGCAGAAAAGCTCCTTGTTTTCTCTATTTTGAAAACAAAAAAAAAAAAAAAAAAAAAAAAAAAAAAACAGCCAACGTACTGAGATTGAGCAAGTGTCCAACGAAACTATAACTTTCTTACTCAAAGACCCACACATATGGATTTTTTACTTTGCACTTAAGACCACATTTCTAAAGGCTGTCCCTCCCCTAGCCTCCTCTTTGAATATGTAACACTCCGCATGCATCTAATAGGTCCTTCAATTGTCCACTTGCACCTTCAAATTATGGGACAAGTGGCCAATTGGGCCTGCAATTGGCTAATTGCACTGACAATTAGCCAATTGTGGGTATAATTAGCTGCATGTAGAATTAATCGTATGCACAGAGTGGGCAGCCACTCTTTGAAAACATAGAACTAAATGTGTTCTAGATGCACATCTGTACCCAGGCACAAAGGAGACATAGGCGAGGATCCTTGATGAATCACTCTTAAGAGAATCATTAAAACAAATTCGGTGCTTGGTTACAAAGACCCCATGATTAAACTCTGCACATCCGGTCTACTTTCTTTGTCTACCAGGAGCTTGGTGTGGACATGGCAATGAAGGTCCCAACATTGAAAACTAATTCTTCACACTGAGGGCCTTTGCAACCAGCTACCTTGTCTCCTGATACCCCCACTTTAAAATTTTAAATTAAATCCTCAGATTTAGGATGTAGCTGGTGAGTTGCATCAGACAGACTCTGTAACTAGAGTCTTCAATAAGGAATCTGACTCCTTTTGATCTACAGTGCAAAATGTTATCACCTCCTTCATCCCTAACACCCAAACTTCTCAAGCGTATTCTTGGGGAACCAGGACAAAATCTCAGGATAAACACAGTGCTTGTCCATGAAACATCAATTTTATTTGATGGGAAGCAATATATAATAATTCTAAATTTTAAGCTAAATAACAGAAAATTTTGGAAAATGGTTAAAGTTGTGATAGTCAAAATGTTATAAGGACAAATTAATATAGATCAGTGATAACTGCCTCTCAGGTGTTTTGTTTTATTTTGTTTTAGAATGGAATCAGATCATTGAGAATTATCTAATGAAAGAGAGAGCATGAGAAAGAGATAGAGGGAGAGAGAGAAAGAGAAAGAGACAAGGATCCTAGAATCCAACACTCAATAAATCAAATAAATCTGAGATTTCCGACAATAAAGAATATTTTTTTCCTTATCTCAGCATTTTACCAAACAAAAGACACCAAAGGCCAGTCTTCTCAAGTAATTCCTGTTCCTTGGTGATGGGAAATGCTACTCTAGACCAAACAGTCAGTTGATTACAGAACAAAATCCAGGGATTTGGCTACTTCCATCCCTCCTCATGAGCCTCAAGCTTCAACTCTCATCTTCCACTTAGTGAAGAACATTCTAGGAACCCACCAATTCTGCAGGCAGGTCCATCTACTGAACCTTCACACACTGCTGCCTGTACACTATGTTTCAAATGACCACCACCAATTTGAAACAAAGGCCATGTGAAATGGATGGAGTCATGTCCAACATTAGAGGTGTTGAAGGAGTGAGAACCATGAATAATGGAACATTTCCTGAACATACGGACAAGCTTGCTGACGATGGAGGGACAGTCGTTTTCCTCCTAGGTTGTAAATGTTGCTGGATTTTATATGCACACTCTTATTTAACTACAGAAATTGCATTGACATCATATCTATTTCTAGGAAAGAAGGAAGACAAGAAGGGAGGATAGGAAGCACTTACTCTTACGTCAGATATTTTCATAGGTGTTACCTCATTTACTCTTCAAAATAATAACATCAAATATAAATAATAACTGTTCTCTTTGGGGGGGTGAGGTTACTGAGCCTTGGAGAAGTTTAAGTGATTTTGTTAAGGTTGTGCAGTAGCAGGCAAAAGAGAGCCAGGTTTCAAACTCCCAAAATCCTCTTTTGGAAAAATTCTTTAAATATAAGCCATATAGCCCTAGACATATGAGAAAATATTATGATCATTATACTTCATGTTCAGGTGCATGTAAAAAAAGTCATTCAAGTATATGTGTCTGAACACAAACATCTGTATTTGTGATCTTCTACATAAATATTCATTTGTATTAAGAAATTGTACAAATGGTAATGCTGACACTGAAAGAAGTATGATTTTGTCTTGTCTTCTAATTGAACGGAGCCTAAATTCTGGATTTACAAATTAATGTTTGCATTCCTAAAAGACCTCAAAGCAAGTCCAGGCCAGAATTTCTCTGCCACTGCATGTTCCCAACAATAGGGCACAAGAAGGGTCTCATTCACTGAACGTGCTCCTCTAGTTAGCCCTTTGTCCAAGCTGACTTGTGTACTGTTTATTGGTAATATACTTGACATTTCACCAAATATGTTGTCAGCATGTAAACAAACTTTCCTTCTATAACATAAGCCTGGACTCCCACTTCAAGTGTTACCCCTCTATGAAATTTCCCTTAGAATAAATATAAGTATGTTTCAATACCCTCACAGTGCCTGTTGTATAAAATGTATCCATTGTGTTCTTACCTATACCTGTCAGCTATTGCTGTAACAATGCTGCTTAACAAATAACCCCAAGTTATTTGTCATCCCATGCTTCATGTAAGCTTGAGTAGGCTGAAGCTTTGTAGTTGCGTGGCATGAAGCTCTGTTCCAAGCTGCTGGTGGGCTGGGGACCTGCTCCCTAGGTCTTCTCATTTTGGGACAGTTAAGGAAGCAGCACCCACCTACTGCGTGCTGTTGTTCATGGCAGAGATCAGGAGTGAGAGCTGTGGAAACACTCTGCCTCCAGCAGCTGTTGCTTAAATAAGGTAAACATCACACCCTTTTACATTCTGTTGGCCAAAACAAATAATACAGCCAAGCTCTACATCACAGAGATGGGGAAATAAGCTCTGTCTTTAGAGTAACAAAAAGTGGTGGAACAGTGAATTCTTATGAACAAATAACCAAATCTACCGTGTTATCTCTCTACATATTATTTTCCTCCCACTGATCAGTAAGGTAAAAATAACATTAAATTCATATCTGTCTTTATATCTTTTAACCAAAACAGAGTGGGTATATAAAGAAGACTCACTTGATACTTGAATACATCATTGGTTTCATTCCGGAGTAAAGGAGTGAAAACATCAGGTGGTACTTTCTGAAAGAACCAAATTATATCAATATTTAATATTTCTAATTTATTTCTCTCTTATACACACATGTGCGCATGCACACGTGCACACACACACACACACATTTTACTTTAATAGTGTTGTTTTGGAGATGAGGGAACCAAGACGTAAAGAAGTTAAGAGATTTTTCCATGGTTGCCTAGCTAAGAAACAGAAGATGGTGAATCAGATACAGAATGGTTTGACCAAGTATCCTGTGATCTTAGTCCATCAACAATGCTGGTCTTCATCTTCCTGTCCTTGGAAGTCCCTGGTGAAGGAAAGGAACACTGGGTTAAGCAGATAAGGTTTTTTTAGTGTGTATTTGTTTGTTTGTTTAGGTGTACCTATTTTAGGGAGAGAGACTCCCCACTGAACATAAGCCCAATACAGGGCTTGATCTGGGGACACTGAGATCCGACCAGAGCTGAAATCAAGAGCTGGACACTCAACTGACTGAACCACCCAGGGGCCCCAAACAGAGAAAGCTTCTTAAGTGACATGCTGAGCTGTTATGTCAGAATCAAAAGTAGTGATGCTCAGGTATGTTTCTTCTGCTAGAAGATGTGAGTGTGATGATACAGCATGGGACGGTGCCCTTATAGAGAAATTAGCAGCAGACACACTTTGATGTAAAGAAGTATTGTCTAGAGGTGTTTGCCTCACATTTTTACAGTGTGGCACACACAGGAAATGATTTTATTTGTGTGACATGGTGTGAAAAAGAACAGAAAACATCACAGTGATCTGAAAAGGGGTGATTGGGTAGAAGTCCCCAGGTGCCACAGACCCCATCAGGCCACCCACAGGTACTGGGATTCTCTGCTAAGGACAAACCTCCTGGAGATGGTCCTATACTCCAGATCACACATGCTCACTCTAGTCAGAATCAGAGGTGATCAAGGCTGAGTAAACAGACTCATCTCACCCACGGGCGATGTGATCTCATGCTTCCCATGGTATATTTCTTGGCGGTTTACAGAGCACTCTTGTAGATATGGATAAATTCATTATCCAAAATCCAACTGAAGGCATCAGTGTTGTCATAAATTATAATACGGTAACCAGGTCTGGTGAGTCATCCAATATTGGAACCCAAAGCACCTTAAATATCAGTGTCCTGATTTCCCAGAGCAGGCAAGGTTTGACCTTCCTCATCTGTTATCACTCATCTGAGTCCACAACTCATCACAGCACAGCCAGGAAACTGAAAGGGTTTCTCAGGAGCCAAGACTTTCGAGGTCCTAGTCCCACACTCTAGTCTCCATTCAGAACCAATAAATAAGATAAGAATCACTTGGTTTTAAGTTTATTTAAAAGGATAGAAGACAGACTGTCTCACCAAAGTATTACTACTCAGAGAATTGGCTATTAACAGGCCAACCAGAAAGAGAAAGACCAAAAAAAAAAAAAATTAAAGAAATTAAGAAACATAAGAAAGATGAATCATGACATTCTGGGGCATCGGTGTAAGGACAAATTGTGCTACAGATCTCAAGGTCATGATTGTTTACTTAAGTGGTAAATGCTGTATACAAAATAAAGATTGGGGAATAATTAGATAGTTCTAAACATGCACTAGAAAAATTTTCTACCATGTTTAAAATCAAGCAAACAAAAAATTAAGACAATAGAAACAAATATGCCTTCAGAAGGAGAAAGAAAAGGAAGGAAGGGATTTTTTTTTTCTTGAAGGCTGAGATCACTATTAAAAATAGTTCAGGTCTGTTTTATCTTATATCAATGGAGTGATGAGATTTAAGGACAACTTTTGTGCTTAGAGTCACAGTGTGAGTTTCAAACTCATAGATGATTTATTCCAAAGCGCACACTGTGAGCTGACTACACCATCTTTGAATGGGACTCTTCATCTCCTGCACAGGTAAGGGGAGTTGAGGTGCTAGTATTAAAGACATTGGCTCTAAAGGTGGGAATCTGTTAATGTCGTGCACAGTCACCTGCAAAATCAAGTGCACCTCCAGGGCCCTTCCTTCACTGTCCACATGGCTGCAAAACCCTTCCCCAAGTGCGTAAAGAGAAGGCACACTCTGACTTCCTATCTTAGTCTGTAGCAGGCAGACCCACAGCATTAACTAAACATTGCTTTTTTGTATTTATAAAGAATAACAGCTACATGCCACTAATGCAGTGCCATTTCATTTAATGACATCCAGCACTGAGTGATTTAATTATTCTTTTAGTCATTGAAACAGTCATCATAGTTTTCCAGCGGCTCTAAGAGAGCCCGCTTGCCTCTTGAATCCATTAACGTAGAGCCTGCGAGCTGGCCTCCCCTTGGAGATCCGTTCAGCTGTGAACCTGGGGAAAGAGGGCTGATACCTTTCAAAGTGTCATTTCTGTTTTTGTCATGGATTTTAAAAGCCTCATTGTGTGTTGCTACTGTGAGAACCTACTATGTGCCGGGTTTTGCACTGGGTTATTTTACTTAAATGTCCTCATTAATTCATGATGAAAAGCCAGAAAGCAGGTGTCTTTATTCCCATTGTACAGGTGAGAAAACTAAGTGCTGGAGACTTCAAGTGGCTTCACCGTGACGACACATCCAGCTGGCATCTGAACATGGGTTTGTCTGAAACCTTTATCAGGGACATCAAAGGTGTAGATGATTGTAAGAACCCTGAGAACAGTAACTAATAGAACAGTGTACACCAGACATTTTACATTCATTATCCATATGAACCTTCAAACAACCTAGCGATTTAGACTTCCCATTATCAGATAAGGAAACAGACCCAAAGAAGTTGAATGATGTGCCAAGGATCACAAAAGAAAAGTACAGAACTGGGGCTTTTGATGGGGTCGAACTTCAAAGTAATTGTAAACCCACCGTGCTGTGCATCAGTGTTAATAGAATTGGGATCAGATTCTTCACCGGTGATTATAGATATCAATGTGCAAGGATTATCACCCCCTTTGGCAAAACGGCTTGATCCTTAGTTTATTGGGGTCTTGTGATGTTTAGAATAAGATCGTTTATAACAAGTGCCTTGCATATAGAGTGATGAACACCTAACTATATTTTAGTGGGTCAACGGTGGCATCTGAAACACTGGGCTGCCGTGAATCAGCATGGCGAAAGTCAGATGTATTTTTCAGACAGAGAGCTCCTTCTGTAGTGACTTTTTTCACCCGGAGATCATTCCATTCCTGCTAACTGCAAAATTTTGCAAAGCTTAAAATAATCATTTTCTAAAGCATTGAAATTGCACTTGAGGAATTTATCCTAAGGAAAGATTCAGAGGTATGCCACACACAACCTGAGGATGGTCATTGATAGGAAAAACAAAAACAAACTGGAAATATCCTGTAGATTGCGATTGTTAATTGTAAATTATAGTGTATTTATTCACCTGCATCCCATGAAGTCCTTAAGAATGACACATACATGTACAGACACACGCTAATGCACAGGAATACACATATGGACAAAGAAAGAAAGAATACCGCAAAACAATTTAACAGTGGCTTTGGTTGGTTGAGAAGGAGGTTTGTGGATGTGTTTTGCCATTGTGTGTATGTGTGTGTGGGTGTTTCTTAAGCTACTTTCTGTTCACCAAGTTTTCCTTATTGAGTGTGATGTCTTTAGTAACTCACAAATAAGGAATCATGCCTGAGTAGCCTGTGGCTGATTGCAACCCTGCTCTTCACCAGAAGCATTGCTGTAATTCAAGCAAACATCCTGGAGCACCTGTCCATGCTCACAACCTGGTGAACTGTGCAGAGTCCTTGGCACCAGTGGCTATCTGGTGAACACGGCCGGCCCTAAAGAAAACCATGACATGAGTCTCCTTTATAAAGTCCAAAGCGTATCTGTCTTCAATCTCCACAGGTAGATGGAGGAAAAATCCTTACCATTTCTACTTGAGTTGTTAAGATGGCACAGAAGTGGTTTTTGCAATAAAACAGGCTTTCCCCAAGGGCACTCGGTATAGATAACATGTGTTTGTTTATTCAAACTCTTGGTCTTCTGCCAGATTTTTCCAGAACGGGGTTAATTTACTTTGTCTATGCATAGAGTAGACACCTTTAGCCATTTTAAGAATAAGGGATCTTTTTTTTTTTTAAAGATTTAATTTATTTATTTGACTGAGAAAGAGAGAGAGTACAAGCATGCACAAGCAGGGGGAGCTGCGAAGGTTGAGGGAGAAGCAGACTCCCCACTGAGAAGGGAACCTGATGCGGGACTCGATCTCGGGACCTGGGATCACACCTGAGCCGAAAGCAGGCGCTTAACTGACTGAGCCACCCAGGAACCCCAGAATTAAGACTTCTTTAGAACATTAACAATGAAGCAAAAGTTTGCAACTTCTGATTCCTTATATTAGTTAAGGCATGTTTATGAATGCAAGATTTTGATGTGTTGATTCAATAACCTTTTGGTTATTGATTATATATATATACCCATACACACAAAGGTGTAAGACACTTCCAGGCATGATCTAACAGTTATGTACGTGAATTAAAAAAGCCAACTAGTGAGCACTTACTTTATGCACCAGACATTGTGCTCAGTGCTTTGTAAATATTATTTCTGTCAATATTTATAAAAAACTCATGGAGTAAGTTCTGCAGTCACCCCTTCCACAGATGGGACACTGGTTTGGGAGGTTATTAACTCATCATGGCCATGCCAAGAACTTAACTTTGGCTCCAGAGTGTGTTTCTCACATGGTTGAGGGTAAATGATTCTGGTTTCCCAAAGCTTGTTTAATGCTGCTGAAAACCAGGAACTGAACTATCTTACATTGGGAATTCCTATAAATAGGGTCAATCCAAATACATCTAAAGGGAAACTTTGGGGATAGACCATGAGAGTAGCCACTTGCAGAAAAAGGAGCCTTAAAACCAGACTTCTCATGGCTCTGTGATCTCTACAGCTGTCTGTATGATGCCAGAATGCAGAAAACATCCCTTCATTTCGCAACATCATCTTATAGCCGGAGAGACCCGCTCGCCTTGAAAGAGCAGCATGGTCAGCTGGGTTTCAACGACCCTGAGCTGGTGACCCTCTTACCCTGTCCCTGCCAGGTCTCTGCCTATGGGCAAGGATCTCTCTCTCTCTTTCTCTCCCCCTCTCTCCCCGGCTTCTGCTTCCGCAGCAGCAAATGAGTCAAGCAAGAGGTCTGGACGCTGAATGCCGAGCTCTTGTACCCAAGGATCCTGAGACATA